TTATGTGATCTTAGTGGTCTTTCCAACCTTACATTTCTGTGATTTTTACAGGGTTCCTTTGATTCTTAGATGATTTGAAAGGTTGTTCATGGAAGATTCTCAGGAATATTTGCTTTTCATGCTGTTTGCACGTGAATGATTGTGGCACAGTTTTACATCTTCGGCAACCTGTGAATTTGGTATTTTAGGGAAACAACAGGATCATCTCATTATTTAACACCTATCGTTTGAATGGATTGCAAGCCCAGTTGCATGTGATCATGTTCAAGATTGCTGGTTAGCAAAAGTGTCCATCATCTAGAAGCTGCAATTTTTAAATAGCAATATTGTCTCAAACTTAAGATTACTTGAACTGAAATCCAAAAGACATTGAAAGACAAAGTGTAAGGGCCAAGGTTTTACTCTTAATATTTACAGCATGGCATTTATGGTAGGTAGAATATGGACTGAGCTTTTTGCAGTTCAAGACAGAAAGTTGGGGGAGATGCTGGCACAGGCTGGGAATCTCAATGGGGTGTCAGTCGCATTTGATGTCTGTCGAAGAAGAAGATGGCTGAGTTATTCTGGACAGTCTTGCTGTGGGAAAGTCATCTTTGCTTGCTTACTCTGCTTTTTCGGACTCAATTTTGAGATTGTGTACATTGTAGCACATACAACAAGGATATACATTATTTAGGATTTTAGATTTTGAGTATGTCTTTGAGATATTATCATAGTTAATCATAGAATTGTTTGGGTTGGAAGGGGCCTTAAAGGTCACCTCTTTCCAGCCCTGTGCTGTGGGCAGGGTTGCAGCTTCATACGCAGAGTGCCATCATTCACAACATACTGATGAAGAAGCAGTCTTTATTTTGTTAATGTGATTAAAGCATCTTTCAGTGAAATGATATGTTAGTTCTTCAGACCATGATTGCACAACTCTTAAGTGTGAACATATGGCCCTGCTTTTCCCTTCTTTAAATGAATGCTTTAATTCTCTCATGTTCATTAGCTCTTGTCCTTTAAGGTATCTGTTTGTCTTGAAAATACACACATCCATTTTTTCTTTCTCTTTTTAAATTAGTGTTGCATTGACCCCAGTTGGTACGTGGCAGTCACAGACCTTTGACCTGCAGATAGCCGTACATCTTGCCTCGAAATACACAGGATATCTTTTAACCTCAGTGTAAGTCTGCAGAAGGCAGCAGCTCTCAACACTGGAGGAAAAGTATATAGTTCCCTGTGAGTTATGTTAATGGAGCAGCATCCTAATTCAGAAGCAGTCTTCTTGGAATCTATCCATATAACATAGCTATGTAGAAAATTATACTCTTATCTTGTACAGTTTCCTTAGTTTTGTGTTTATGATTGATTTGCTACTTAAGCAGAATCCCTTTGGACACCTGCCTTGCTACTGGTGAGATCAATGAATTGCTCCCACAGCTCTGTGCTGCAGCAGGGCTGTTATTACAGGGGGAGAAGCACTGATAAAAAAAGATAAAGGTCTTTTCATCTTTCTGTATCTTGCCATTCCCCCAATAGGGAATGAGAATTAGAAGCTGTTATTATTGATGAGATTTAAGCTCTAGTCATACTTAACGGTTAGCTGTGTTAAGGTTAAATGCTCTCATCTCATTACTGAGAGTGGTTTGCACAATGTGCTCGTGCATAGGACCTGTTCTTTAAAACCTGGCAAGGCAAGCAATAATTTTCACCCCTAGATCTCAAAATGTATTTAAATAATAAACCTGTTGTTTTCTTTTACCTCATCACCATATTCCTTTGTGGGCACACGTGAAAAGTGTCTCAGATAAGAGATTTTTTTTGCTGGTTTATCTGCCTGGTCAGAAGCATAGGTATGCTGTAGGTAGAGTAAAACTGGCAGAAGTACTGGAGGAGGAAGCTGGCTGGTTTTTAGTAGAGGAGCTCATTCTAAGTGGATTTTGAATCATGGTACCAACACAGAGCATAATTTTGTGTCTGTGATAGGATCAAATGCTGGATCGTGCTTTTAGAAGGCAGCCGTTATGGATGCACACAGGAACAACTGAACTTGTCTGATACTTCTCTGTTTAGAGACTTCTCTGTTTAGATACGCTCCTCCATGGCAGCAGGAGTGGTCTGGAGTGAGATTACAGTAATAGCTGTTGATCAAAGGCAATTCCAGTTCGCATTGCTCAGCATTGTTGGTATGTTTCCTGTTCTTCATGTCTTCCCTCCTTGAGCTTCTCAGTGCAGGAGCTGCCAGGATGGTTCTGGTGAAATTTAGAGGAGACTTGGGGTACTGCTTCATCCAGGAGAAGCAAGGTGAGAAGACTGGCCTTGCCCTACGTGCTTCTGAGGAGATGGAGCAAAAGCAGCCATGGTATCGAGTTTGAGTGGTGGCAGCTCTCACAACCAGTCTCCCTGAACTGGATATTTTTTACAGCCCTTAACTGTAATAGTTAGGGTATAAGAGTGTTGCTAGAGCGATGCCACAGAGTATTTCTTTGAGCCATCAGCATCCTGGATAAAAACAACCCATCCACTGGTGGACAGACCATCAAAAACAATGCAGCAATAATGAGCCATCACCACCTTGGGTGCCAGTTAGCTTTTAGGCCCATGGGCACTGGAACGTGGAATGCTGCAGAGGCAGGTTTCACTCGTTTCCAGGTTTTGTTTGTTACCAGATTTCACAAATGCTGTGTTTTGATCTCCTTTCATATTTTTTTTTTCAGGGGGTGGTTTTGTCTCCACTTGTGTAGTTGCTTTTCTTCTGCTAACCCTGAAGTGCCTTTCATCATCTCCTTTTTTCTGGCATAGGAAGTCTCAGTCAGGCAATGGCTGCTACAGTTCTCGTTGCTTGTTTTGGATATAGTTTTAGGTCACTAAAATTAAGTTGGCTTTGGGTTACTGGGCCTGTTTCAACCTGCAGGATGTGAACAAAATTGAAAGTGGGTTGATATGATTTCTAATAGCTGAGTGCTTCTGTGAGGGTTTGCTCCTCATATTGTCTTTGGCTGGTGGATGCCTCACTGCAGTGGAAGTACATTGGAGATAGCAAAGAGGCTGTGTTCACCCGTGTCTGAGCAACTGGTGTCATCAGTACCAGTGAAGCAGAGTGATGGCTTGCATCAGCAGGACAAGTCCTGTGGGAAATTTGCAATATTCTGGAAAAAATATACCCCATGGTCTCTTTTGACTAAATAGTTGTATTTTAAATTAAGAGAAATCAAATCTTCACACTTCTGTATACAAGGGGTTATGTGACCAACCCAGTTGCCTTAAGTCTATGTATCTGGTAGAGATTTGACACCTGCTCGGTGGCAAATGTGCATGCTTGTCTGCAGTACATCTGCAAGAGTTTACTTTGAGGATGGGAGTTGCATTTCCTTCTCAGCAGTGCTGGATGTTTCAGAGTGAGGCATAAGAACCTATCTAAGCTATTTGTGCATTAAAGAATTAGGGTATCTGAGCAGTCATAAGGAGCTTGAGAATGCCCTAAAGGGCAGGTCTGCTTGGTAATAGTCTGCAGGGACTGCAGGAACAGCCATGCAAATTCTTCCGCTGCTTAGCTTAGTAGTAATTTTCATGGCTTTTTTTTTTTTTTAATTTAAATACAAATACAGCTCCCTTTTGGAAGTCCTTCTAATTGAAGGGTGTAAGGCTTGGGTATCTGCTTTAATTGCTTGCTAAATGCAAGCATGCTTTGTCAATACAGCAAATGATATGTCTAAGCACTGGGTATGCATCCATCCTTAGATGTCTTAGGGTCATATTTTCTTCTATTGAGTGTAGTAAACTCACTGGGAAAGCTGGTAAATTGGTTTGCCATTATGCAGCTGTTTATAGCAACCCTAGAATAAACATCCCTTACAAAGATGGAGCTACTTGTGCCAAGGAACTTTAGCTGAAGAACTGGGTGCAAGATTGCATATGGAACAGATGCAAACAGAAAATCTGCAGCTTATATGGCACTATACTTTTAACAGGGAGGATTTGTCTCTCTTACTGTTTGTCTGTAGGCCTAAAGCTTAAGCACGCTTTGTAGATGTAGGACAATTTCACTGTGGTTACAGGACCAGTGCTCTTGTGAGATTCTATCTTCAGGTGTTGCAAGTGAATTGAAGGCCTCTGGGAAGAGAGGCACTCAGGTTGTGTCTGGGCATCAGTGCGCTGTACTGTACTTGAGACAGATCAGGGAGCAGGAGGCCTGCCCTGCACATAGCAGGGGGCTTGAAACTAGATGATCATTGTGGTCCTTTTCAATCCAGGCCATTCTGTGGTTCTATGGTTCTGTACATAGGGTGTGCTTTGGAAAATGAGTGCTAATCTCTTGCAGTGAGAAACAGATAATGAGTATACATGTCTGAGTTTTTATAAAATGTTAGAGGGAGGAATATAGTCTTGAGGAAGGTCTGTGTGTGGTGGATGTGAAAGCAAGCTGCCAAAGGAGCCATGCTCCTTATTATTGCTGTTAAAATACTTAAACGCTTTTGATACAATGAAGAGAGAGATGGGAATTGGCTCTGTAATATTAAAACTTAAATAACTCATGAAAGATGAAACACTGGGAAAAAAAGATCATTGATAGACTAAGTGTGAGAGGATTCATGCTTGTCTTTAGAGTGAAGAACAAGTCACAGCTGCAGAATTCTTATGGAGTTGTAATTGCTGGATGTAGCCAGGGCTTTGAGCTGGGAAAGTGTCAGCTGTAGCATTCAGGAATACATTGTCAAGATGTAAAGCACAATATTAATGTCAGCCTTCAAACTGTTCTTTCTTGAAAAATGAAGGATTTTTTAGTTAATTTAAGAGTTTCTCAATTCTTAAACTATCACATAGTCCTGTGCCAGTGTGGCTTTCATCATAAGGTGCTACTTCATTTTGATTTTTCTGGAAAAGACTGAAGAGAGTACCTCTCATCAAACTATCACTGCCACTAAAAGTGTCTTCAGTACTGACATGAAAAGAGAGATGGCATATCTTATTGTAATAAAACTTTTGTTACTCAGCTGTATTTTTCTTGTTTTCTATAGATCCTAATTATCTCATGGCTAATGAACGCATGAACCTGATGAACATGGCAAAACTGAGTATCAAGGGGTTGATCGAATCAGCACTTAATCTGGGCAGGACGCTGGACTCTGACTATGCACCTCTTCAGCAGTTCTTCGTTGTGATGGAGCATTGCCTTAAACATGGCTTGAAAGGTAAACTTACTTGAGAGGAGCACTCCTGGCCTGTTTGTCACAGCATAGGAGCAGGAGAGCAATCTAGTTTTAAAAGTCTGGCTTGGTATTCAGCAGAGGTTGAGCAGGGTGTCTGTGATCACAGGTGACTTGACAGGGCACAGAAAAAGGAGAAAATTTGCTGAAGGTATAATGCTGCAGGTGAAAAGTTCCATTGTTGCAGTTGCTTGTCACTTTTAAAACAGCTTTTCAGATGTGACTCTAGTATAACTAAGTCATCAAGGCTAAAGCTGCCTCCTCAGCAGACTTGTGACTCCATTTTTTCTGTGCTTCCTCAGAGAAGCAATGCATCTTTTGCTGGAAGAGGATCTGCAGCACTGCTTAGTTCTATCAAAATTGAGCATTTTGACTTACTGCAGCTATTACCTTTTAAGCTGCTTTTTAAAATGGCAAGCAGAGCGTATATTTAACTATGAAACACAGAGTTACAACTGCAACTGCTAAGAACTGCTGGTTTTCTTGATTTGCTGCCCTTTCCTTGAGATGAAAAGTGGGGGATGTTAAATTTCCTCTCAGCACATATTTCCTGTGGTGTTTTTTTAAAAGACTTCGTTCAGCACTGTGGGCAAAGTGCACATGGGCAAAATGATTCCTGTGCTGGTTATTTGTGCAAGGAAGAGGTGTTCATACTGTTCAGCTTTGGTTGTTTATCTGTTCTCTTGCTGATGTCACTACTGCTGGTTTTAAGTTAGCTGAGTTCTCAGATTCCTTACTTCTGCAAATTAGTTTCTAGTTTTAAAATATAGGAGTCACTAGAAACCTCTATGCATCCTTGCCTCCTCCAGAAGAGTCCCTGGAAACTATAGAGGAGTTAGATTCTAAGTGTTGTGGTTCTTTTCCTTGAAATGTAATGGTGAAGGAAAATTCCTGTGCACATGTGGGGTATGACTCAGGAGCAGTGGCAACATCCCAGGAGAAATCTGCCTCTCACAGTGAGTCTCGGTTGCTGGATATAACTGGATGTTGTCTTGCAATATTTAGCTTGTATAAAACTACTTTTGGTATGTACATCAAGCCCTTATTGCTTTATTTGAATGATATCAGTAATTGCCACTTTTGGGTATGAGAAGTAATCTTTTGTACTTGCTCAGTAGCAGTGCCAGTAGGCTCTCTGTCAACTGTTCTGATCTTCTGATCATGTTTGAGAATATAAATAATTATATAAATAATTAACACAGGCTCAATGGGCTAATTTTATGTATTTTCCTTTTTTTTAGCTAAAAAGACTTTTCTTGGGCAAAATAAGTCATTTTGGGGACCTTTAGAACTAGTAGAAAAACTTGTTCCTGAAGCTGCAGAGATTACAGCAAGTGTTAAGGATCTCCCAGGTCTGAAGTAAGTACATTCTTTTACTGCTCAAGTATGCTTAATACCTTACTTTTTGTTGTAAGAGTGATCCTGAAGAAGAGAAGGGAGGACAACCCTGATCTTCCGGAATCCACCTGCCATTTGCTGTTTATACAAATGGCACATTACTCTTTTTTTTTTTTTTTTTTTTTCTTTTTTCCCTTAGTTAAGAAACTGCAGAAGGAAAAGAAGAGTACATTCTTTGTGTATTAAAAGGTCATATGGACAACAGCAAATATATTGCTAGCACTAAATGAATGACAGTAGGTCTTAGGAATGGAGTGAGCCTTTACCAACTCACCTTCTGAAGCTATGCTGAAGAGAAAGGGACTTGGAAGGGAGGTGATTACAGATTACATGCATTTGAGCCTGATAGAGGTAGTTTTTCTTTTAAAATATATTTCGATAAACCTGTAGAGCTTGTATAAAAGAGAAGCTCACAGAGTGGAGAAGATACTGACTTCTGCTGAAGAGGAGAGAGGAAAAAGCCTGTGTGAGGATATGTTGCTTCTAAAAAAAAAAAAAAGCATAGTCATTTTAGACATCATGTTCAGACTTGCTTAGTTCATTGCTGAAGAATTGTTAGTATGATGAGGGCTTTCAGCCTAGCAAAAGGAAAAAAGATTTGAGGATGCATTGTATGAATGACAGGACTAAACATCAAATCTTCTTTGCCCCCCAAAAAAAGGCGAATACATTTGATAACAGCTTATTTCAGTTCATTGTTTAATGATGTACCTTTGGAAAAGTGCTGTTAGTGGTGGACTACATAGGAATCTGTCTGGAACAGCTTAGGGACCAACATGGAGTACTAGGAGAGTCACATCACAGCTCCTGGCTTTTCTTGTAGAAGAGTACTGGAGCATGACATAGCGAGACCTGGACAGGCTGGAGAGCTGGGCAGTAAGAAACCAGATGAGGTTTAACAAAAGCAAGTGTAGAGTCTTGCATCTGGGGAGGAATAATTCCATGCACCAGTACAGGTTGGGGGATGACCTGCTGGAGGGGAGCTCTGCGGAAAGGGACCTGGGTGTCCTGGTGGATGACAGGTTGGCCATGAGCCAGCAGTGTGCCCTTGTGGCCAAGAGGGCCAATGGCATCCTGGGGTGCATTAAAAAGAGCGTGGCCAGCAGGTCGAGGGAGGTGATCCTCCCCCTCTACTCTGCCCTGGTAAGACCTCATCTGGAGTACTGCGTCCAGTTCTGGGCTCCCCAGTACAAAAAAGACAGGGATGTCTTGGAAAGAGTCCAGTGGAGGGCCACAAAGATGGTGAAGGGACAGCATCTCTCCTATGAGGAAAGGCTGAGTGAACTGGGTCTGTTCAGCCTTGAGAAAAGAAGACTGAGAGGGGACCTGATCCAGGTCTATAAATATCTAAGATGTGGGGGCCAGAGTGGCGAGGCCAGACTCTTTTCAGCAGTGTGTGAAGACAGGACAAGGGGTAACAGCCAGAAACTGCAGCATAGGAAGTTTCGCACAAATGTGCTCAGGATCTTCTTTACAGTGAGGTGACGGAGCACTGGAACAGGCTGCCCAGGGAGGTGGTGGAGTCTCCTTCTCTGGAGATGTTCAAGACCTGCCTGGATGCCTACCTGTGCTACCTGGTGTAGGGAACCTGCTTTGGCAGGGGGGTTGGACTCGATGATCTCTGGAGGTCCCTTCCAACCTCTACAGTTCTGTGGTAAAATAAAAGATGGTTTTTGAATAATTCTCTAAAAAACAGTCTTACATACACATACTAACCCTTTGAAAAACAAAATGTCGTGTGTTAGTTGAGGTCAAGACCATAAAGGGGAATGATGAAGATAATTTCCATGTGCAATTGCTGCATATACTAGTTAAGACTGAAAACTAAAATGTTTTACATACTATTTGCTCTAAGACAACTGACTACTGGAGATGGAAAAGAAATTTCTTTCTATTCGGAGCTCTGCTCAGCATAGGGGATTTATACCTTCCTTTGGAGCATCTGGTACTGGCTCCCAGCCACTATGTCAGGGTGGATGAGCCAGAACAGTGATGCGTCATATCAGTTCTCAGTATTTTTAAAGCTATGTGTCTAAAGTGGTCTGGAGAAGCAAAGGCCATACCCTGTTGGATCCCATGAATGTATTATGAGCAAAATACTTGAACAGCAGCGAATTTATGCTTTTAGTTGTCTTTACAGATTCCTAGTAGGCTTAACACACTCAAAGGATTGATATTTGGACATTAGCACTGAGCTGAAGTGTACTCGTGTTCTGCTGACTTGCAAAAACTGAATTTGAGTTAAAAGGTGATTTATTGAAGCAACTGATTTCTGTGCAGTAGCATCCAGCAAGGGTAAAGTCAGGAAAATATTCTTAGTGTGGTAACAAATATATAATTAGTTATGAGAGAAGGAATAGTTGCTTAGATAATTACTTGCTAAATGCTCTCTGAAGGTCTGTTCAAAACCAAACCATTCTAAGATTATATGATAATCCTGTCTGTAACTATTTATGCTTACACATCTGGTATATCCCTCTCTTCAACAACATCAGCTGTATTTTAAGATACAGAAACTTGACACCAAGTAGGGTTATTAATGTCATTTGTGAGTGTGCATTACAGTACATGTGTAATTGTGTTGGTTTTGGCCTTTGTAGGACACCTGTGGGTAGAGGAAGAGCTTGGCTTCGCCTTGCTCTAATGCAGAAGAAACTTTCAGAGTACATGAAAGCCTTGATTAACAGAAAGGATCTTCTCAGGTGAGCCTTGAACTCTCTCTCAGATTGGGTAAGGTTCACTTCTGCCCTCTAAGATCTTTTGAAGAAGTTTTGCATCCAAATGGGAAGGATACATGCATGTCTCCACAGAAGTGGTAATGTTTGTGAAACATAGTTTCATCTCAGAGAGTAAAAATGCTTAATATTCTTTCTGTATCTAGGAGAGGCAGCATTTCCACCCTTAGTGTCTCAAGTATCTATTAGAATAAACAAATTTTGTGTCCAAAGAGGCAGTTCAGTTGAAAAACTCTTGCAGACCAATACAGCATTCTCTGTTCACGTGATCTTGGCTGTAGTTTTATTTCTGATCTTGTCACTTTATCACCATCTTACTTGGAGCAAGTCAATCAGTCTCTGTCTTTCTACTTCCCCGCTCATAAAAATAGCACTAACTATGTAGAGTAATTAGGAGTCCGCAGGTTTGAACTACTATGTTTGTGTGAACTAGTAGAACTTGATAAATATGTTGGTGTTTCTTTACTCAGACATAGGTCTTTATTGACTGTGAAAATCCGTAGCCTACTTTGCAATTTACTTTCCTCTGGAAAATGTGGCAGCTGGTGTTTAAGAAGCATTTAGTGGAGTAGCGAAAGTATTGCTTATTAATAAAACTCCAATATTAAGCCTAGCCTTGAATTTTCACTGCGCTGAACTGCTATTCAGTGCTTATGCTTTTTTTGCATCACCATTTAACAGCCGAGAGTCCAGATCTCCTCTAATGGGTCTTTGTGTCACCAACAGCTATACAGTACTGAGAGATGTTTGGTTAGAGCAGCAGTACGCTTCTGTGTGAATTATGTCAATTATTGTTGCCTGGCTTTTCATTAAGCCTGAACTTTGCATTGCATTCTGTGAAATGCTAGGGCATGCATGCTAGTTGTCATTGTTCTGGTTGATTTTTTAAAAGGTGCAACGCTTCTTTTCTCTCATTGTCCATCCTGTAGTGAATTTTATGAGCCTAATGCACTGATGATGGAAGAAGAGGGTGCGATCATTGCTGGCCTCCTTGTAGGTTTGAATGTCATTGATGCAAACTTCTGCATGAAGGGAGAAGACCTGGATTCACAGGTGAGTAGTGTTCGGTTAATGTTTTTTTCTACTTACTTAAATTGTAACAATTCAACTTATTGTTACCTCTGAAGATTTTTTTGCCAATTTGCTTTCTCTTATAGCATATTTTTGCTTGAACTGGTTCATATTTTCCTCCATTTTGGCTAGATTAGTAGTATAATGAATCCTTGTGACACAGTATGTATTGATGTTTTAACTGAATGACAGTTAAACTTTCACAGCTATGAACAGTGTTTAGTCATATCAAAAGTGTTTAATTTAAAATGCAATTTTTTTTCTCCTAGGTTGGAGTTATTGATTTCTCAATGTATTTGAAAGATGGAAACAGCACAAAAGGCAGTGAAGGGTAAGCATGTGCACAGCTGTCCTGCTCATCTCTTGATGACTTGTTTTCAAGTATGTTGAGCTAACCTGCAAGCTATTAAGTTTTTCATTAAAACACTTCAGGGTTTATTTTTCATAGAGAACAAATTGCTCATATTTGTAAGTGCATAATGTGTAAATAATACATTGGAAGTGATGGGAGGTAGAAGGACTGAGGAAAGTCTCCCGGCCATTTAAGATGAAAATACTTTAAAAGTGACTCTTTGAGTTAAATTTGCCATTCTTGAAAACATTTTCGGTAAGCAGCTTAGTAACTTTTACCTGTTGTGTATCAGAGGACAGGAGTTGGTTTTTAGCACCATAGCATCTTCAGAAATAAATTCTGCTGTTGGAGATGACTGTAATTGTAATAATAATTCAGAGTGCTTGTGTTAGCATACATAAATGTAGCTATGCAACATTTAGAGCAAGAGGGTGAAAAATGATCTGTGTGTCAGCATATCCACACTTTATGTATTGTGATTTTTCTGAGGCTTTCAAGAGTATTTCTTCTTCTCAAGAAATTCTGCCACTTCACATTCAGATATATTTTGAATTATTATACCTCAATATCAGATGTTTTGGTTGAAACTACAGATGAAATAAATGCATTTATAGAGCTTTTATTTAGTTAGGATTTCCTGCTGTAAGAGTATGCAAAATACATGTTTGTTGACAGCTTTCTTTGAATTGAATTTGGTGAAGTAGTCCCTCTTCAATATAAATATGGTTCAAAACCAGTCTTTTTAAGTACTGTTGTAATGACTGGAACGTTGTCCAGCTTAATTATTCTTTTAATGTGTCACAAAATCCCTGAATGTAGTAATTGCAGCTTCTGAGAAGTTGGTAACTGATGAGAAGGGCATAGACTGCAACTCAGCTTTGCTGTTTCACATGCAACACATAGACTCATCCGGTCTTAGGACATTTGGTGCTTTGGTGGATACGTTAGCTGTACAGGCACATTTCCTCTTAAACCTTTTACATCATCTCTTTACATCTATTAATTCAGATATTGAGGTTTGAAGTCAAAGAAAAACTATGCTATTTCTTCCTTTTGTAGACTTTAATGCTGCATAAGTATTTAGAGTGACAGCTTGCCTCTGTTATGCTGCATAGTATGGGCCAGAAACCCATGCAGGCCAATCAGGGTGGGGAATGTGGAGGTAAAAGTAGGCTGGATAACTTGGAGTTGACTCATCTCTGTCTTATAATCTTTTTATATGGTGGAGAAGGCCTTCCAGTCTGCATGGGAGCTTCAGAAATGCACCACACAGTCAGCATTTGTAGGTATGAAAGGCTACACTCAGGCTGAGTTGAGGGTATTTTTTTTTTTCCAGAGATGGTCAGATAACTGCTATTTTGGACCAGAAGAATTATGTAGAAGAACTCAATAGGCACTTAAGGTAATACATGATTTATTTATTTTTTGTTATGTGGGACTGAACAATAGGCTTTTAAAAAAGAAGGAATTACTGATGTGGTTTCTGTTGTTTTTTGTTTTTTTTTTTCCTCTTCAACAGTGCTACAGTAAACAACCTGCAGGCCAAAGTGGACGCCTTAGAAAAGTCCAACACTAAACTGACTGAGGAGGTAAGTGTAATAGGGAAGCACCTGATGTTCTGGCCTTTTTGAATTAGAAATTGAAAAGATAAAGGGAGGATTTATTTTCAGAATTCTGGTGTACATTGTGATGTCTTTTTAAAGATGAAACAGGAATAACTGAACTGCTGAGAATTCAGTTAGCTGCCACTAACTAAATGTGAGATGGAAAACAGCCAAATGCTTATGCTCAAAATCAAAAGCTGATGAATCCACTTTTTTCCTTCTGAAGTCTTCTGAATGTTTTCTATTTTGTGGAAAATATCTTAAAATGAATTACACAGTGGACGTGTCTTGAATTGCCATACAGCTGAAGTAGGTTGGGGCAGAGACATTTCTAAACTTCTGTTTATTTTGACAGATGCAGAAGTTTACTACTGTGTTGATATTATCTTGCATGCATCAATGAGTTTTCCTCTAGTCTGTCAAAATTTGCAAGGAATAAAATATCAAAACGTTGTTCACTCTGAGCATGGAAAGGCATTGGTACGTGAGTTGTAGGTGTAACCTGTGTCTTAAAATTGGTCTTGCAATTCATCAGTAATGGCATAAATGTAATAAAATAATTTTTAGGTCACGAGTGATAATAGTAAGTGTCGTCCTAAAGGTTTGACGGTGTCTGTGTCAGCATGTCACTTTGCTCAGCAGAATGATTTTGATTAGGACAACTCAGGGCTCCGGCAGTACAAACATGAAATAGAAATTCTTTTTTGCTTGTTCACTCTCATCAGAGAGGTGTGTGTGTCTGGTTCTGTAACACCTTCTCTAAAGGATGTGTTCCAAATGATGGGAAACTTTACTGGCAAGTTAGCGTATGTACTCTTGCAGGTAAAGTAAAAAAGGGTTTTTTTTGTGATTTAAAAGGATAATTTTAGTTTTTGAAAGGTGTCTTAGAGTAGGCTGTGTTTCTCGGTGCTGATACAATAAATGGCTTTTGATTTATTACCGTCCATATTTGAATGCTTTGTCCACTAATCATGATACCCATGAGACTGATTACAGTGTTGACTTGAGGTATTTATTGATCTATATGTTTTTAGTAGCTTGCTTTTCTCTTAGTCAAGTCTGCATGCAGTTCAAATTAAGAATTAAATCGACACTGGGACTTGCTGTGCCAACTGGAGCTGTTTGCAGGATGAAATAGTTAATGAACTGTGTCACATGTCATATCTGTTTGTGTATTTGGCATGAGTTGTACCAAAGGCTCATGCTTCTGTTGGGCTAGTTTTTATTGAAATGAGGATTTGCACTGAGTTGTATTAACCACACATTATATAGAGTCTAGGACATAGTGACCTAGAGAACTTAGTAATGTTACTAAAAGACACAAACAGAAGTAGTTCAGGAAGTCACTGCTCTACTACCAGTGTCATAGATTTTCACTGATAGCTGATACTTTTTCAGATAGTCTGTCCCCATGTTAGGGGCTAAATTGTCTTTTTTTTACTTGAAATATTTTTTTTTTCTTACTGGGAATGTTAGCAAACAAGTACAGGATAATCTGTCTGGAGAAGAAAAAATCTGCTAAATATGTTTTTAATATATTAATGTTCTGTTTGTTCACAGCTTGCTGTTGCAAACAACAGGATTATTACACTGCAAGAAGAGATGGAACGAGTTAAAGAAGAAAGTTCTTACATCTTGGAGTCCAATCGTAAGGTCAGTACATGCAAATGATGCCTGAACCCGTTGGGCAGAATTTTATATAAAGTAGCTGTTTTGAAGAGCTTTAATTTCCTTATCCATGTCACAAAAAACCTGTAGTAAGTAACGGTGACTCCAGGTGGATCCTCTGCAGAGAGTAACAGATGGACACTGACCGTAGTAAATCCTGCCTGGTGGTAGCTTGTACATGTGCAGAGCTGAAAACTAACACGGCATCTTTATGGCTTGCCAGGTGAAGATGTCAGAACAGACTGGAGGAAGGGTGATCTAACTGAGATGTGGCAAAAAAGCTCAGAAATAGGAGTTCTGCTTTTTTGACCTGATATGCTACACTTTTTGGAAATGAAGGGATGGGATGATAAAATATGTTAGTCTTTTCTCAGTTTATTTGCTGAGAAAATTGGTAACTATGATAGAATCTGGTTTTAGTTTTAAAACCTGAAAGGTATTTTTTCTGAGATTTTTCTAATCGTACTTAGCAATTATCTCAGGTCTGAAAATGGTCTGTCTGTCCATTTTAATTATAGGCACTGAATTGCACTGAGCAACAGATTTCTCACAAGCTGCATGTTGCGTTATCTGAATAGAGCCGCTGTGTTCAGATAGTTGCACGATTTGGTTCAAAAGTGGGATAAGCAGATCAGCCAATGTGAGAATTGTTAGTGTTTGTCATTACATTGATGAAGTTTCTTCATTAAATTAGGTCGCTAAAGACAGAACTGCAGATGGACAGGCACTGACTGAGGCACGAAAACAGTTAAAGGAGGAGACTCAGCTGCGGCTGGTAAGGACAGTGTGAGCTTGAAGCTCCCTACAGTTGGCTTTTTTACATAATTCCTGCATGCCAGACAGCTATTTTTCAGGACCAGCGGCTTATTGTCATTTCTGCCTGTCTACTTCAGTTTGATCTGAGACAGTCTTGTTGGTAGTGATGTTAATTTTGTGGCTCAAAATGGGCAGTGCAATTGTTTTTACATCCCCCATGCAGGTACTGCTATTGCCACTATCAGAAACGTTACTCAGTTACTCAGAATGCATACTTAATCACTCTTTAATGTTGGACTAAAATTGTGAATTTTTTGTCCTTAATTGTTTCTGGTATGTCAAATCTGTAATGTCATGCTGTAACAGTGTAGCACACTTAGGGGTGTTGACTTCATTGCTAAAGCACCAGTTAAGAGTGGTTACATTGTTGATGAGGAAGAAAACTGACTGTGCTGTGTGTTTCAGGATGTGGAAAAGGAACTGGAGGCACAGATTGGGATGAGACAGGAGATGGAGTTAGCCATGAAGATGCTGGAGAAAGATGTCTGCGAGAAGCAAGATGCACTGGTGGCACTCAGACAGCAACTGGATGATCTCAGGGCCCTGAAGCATGAACTGTCTTTCAAGCTGCAGGTAAGAAAAATAATTAAAAAGAATAGAATGAGTTCCAAATAAAAGTGGTAGCTCTTGTTCTTTTCTTCCCCGTCTGTGTTTGAAAAGTACTGGGTGTGTACTAGAGTGACTGGATATATTCCATACTTCTGTCTTGTTTCCTTTGCAAAATTATCCCTACCCACACTTTTTTCTGCATTTGTTTCTGTTTGTTGATCATGTTGGGCTGGCATTCTTAAGTGCTGGTTAAATTTGATTTGTGTAAGAATCTTTAGGGTAGATAAGAATTTTCTAATAACATGTGCACTGATAGGCTTTTTACCTTTTTCAAATTTGTAAACCTACAGGGGAAATAAAAATAAAAACAAAACAACAAACCTTAACTGAAAGGAATGTTTCCCCACAGAGGTTACCTTGACAGGTGTCTGTTTCAGTTAAGTAACATTATCTGGCAGTGGACATTGGATTTTCCCTGTTGTGGGGAAGTATATGCAAAGTAGGCATGCTTTGGGAAGGGTATCTCAGTAGTGAGCTGTTCTTTGCTACTCTTCATTTGGGAGTGTGTATAATCAACGAGTAAACAGATGTATGATTGACAAATATACTGAGAAGTTAGGCTGGTCTTTAGAGAACGTATAGCTGGAAAGATTATCACGTTGGAAAGGGATAATAGGAAATGAGTGGAAAAGTCCTGGGTTCACAGGAAAAACTCCAAGAGGAGCGATCTCCGGAGAGAGATCCTTCCTCAGTGGCAGTCAGCCCTTAATGGGTCTAGGAGAGGTGCAGCCTGGCTCCACCCCTTCTGGTCACAGAGCTGAACTGCCTTCACCTGTGCTCCCACGGCTGACTCAGTGCTTCCCTCAGGTGATCGATCAGAGGTTCAGGGCTGTGATTCAGTACTTCCCATACAGAGTGTTTTCTCATGGGGGTTTGGTTCAGGCTGCTTTCTAGGCTGTGGCTGTGCTCTGTACTCCTAGTGGTACTGTTAAAAGTTTGTTAAAGAGGGCGTGAGCTACTGAGGGGCCAAACAAGAAGCTGTAGCATTTTAAGCAATTGTCCCTTTTGGGGAGCTGAAAGAAAATGCTATTCGTTGTGGAGAAAGATTGATGGTAATTCAGAAATGTGCATGTTTCAGTGAGGAAAGTATCTTCTGGTTTTTATGATGTAGATACTGAACTATTACTGCCTTATTTGAAATATATTACTTATACATTACTACATAATGAGGAAAGCAGACTCTTTAGGACACAGAGTAGCACACAGTGCATGGAAACAAATCATAAATTATAGAACAGAAAAATGTTGCTTCTGTGCTCCTTGAGCCAATTGTTCCATGTGAAACGTTGTAGGGGCATTAACAGTTACTGCATTACCACCACTTACAGGAAGCAGATCTGATTATAATATTGACGTTCTGTGAGGTCCAAATGTAGCCTACACCTGTAGGGCAGGATGCTATATTGATGTGGCATTTGCTTTCTGAGCACCTTCTGTCTTAATGGCTTCTGTCTACGACTAGCCATTTGCCATATGATTTGTTCTTGCTTATTTTGGTTTTACTGATACTTATATAAAACACATTGCTACTTTTTGTAGAGTTCAGACATGGGAGTGAAACAGAAGAGTGAACTGAATAGCCGTTTAGAAGAAAAAACAAATCAGATGGCTGCTACCATCAAACAGCTTGAACAAAGGTAAAAAATGAAACTTCTGCAATTATGATAATAGTGTTTATACTAGTGATAGTGTCACACTGAACTTCATAGAAAAGATGAGAACCTTACTGTGCTGCTAAGACACTGCTAAACAGAGAAACACAAAGAGAACAGGATTCAGTCTGAGCAATAATTTTGTGGCATGGTGTGAAGTGTTTTGCATGTTCAAGGGGAGCTTCCATTAAAAAAGGAATATACTACTAAAACAGTAATTAACATAGCAGCTTTGTTTATCTGTCAGCTGCGTATTTGTATGTTATTCAGACATTGTAAGTCAATTACTATCTCTGATAGTGAGCAGACTGATAAGCATCTAAAGAAGTGCTTGACTATTAATGACAGTATTGCAGTGGGAGCAGGGAGGAGAAAGGTAAAACAGAAATTATTCTGAAGATGCATGATTATTCCAGATCTTTTTGGTACCGTTTTGAAAAAAGTACCCCAAATTTTGAACCATTTGTTTTAAGAGCAGACAAATGATCAGGTCCCTATAGTTTCTGAGGAAGATATGCTTGGGGGAAAAAAAAAAAAATCTCACATGAAAATAAGTCAAGGAACAGGCTGATTGTCTGTAGAAGCTGGTAAAAATATCCTGTAAGTATAACATCTATTTGGTCTGAGACAAGTCCCATCCTAATATCTCTGTTGCTTTGGTGTTACTATATCACGTAATTTGGATGGCTTCAGCAATGAAGTTGAATTGAAGTGAGGAGCAGTGCTCCTTTTTCCCGTTTTTCTTATTTGGCCAAAGTCTTCAGTCTCTGTGAATTACCTTGACTGCAGTGGTAGCTCCAAGCCAAACCAAGGGAAGGCTTAGGTCTCAGCAAGATGGGTCTGAAATTAATTTAGTGCGTTAAACTATTCATTAAGTAAATATTCTCATTTTTAAGGTTTGCATTTTGAATGATTCTTAGTGACATAGGTCAGTTTGTTTGTAGAAAATTTGTATTTTATGATGCATTATATCTTCTCAGCTAATTGATATGCTCTTTTTCTCTTGCTGTTCTTATTTTTCCATTTCCTCTTCATCCTCATTCTAACTTACTTACACAGTGAAAAGGATTTGGTGAAACAGGCAAAAACCTTAAACAGTGCAGCAAACAAACTGATCCAAAAGCATCATTAGACATTTTTGTGTCTGGTCACCTCACAGCTCTGACATCAGAACTCACGAGAGGAGAACTTTAGAATTGCTAAGATCAACTGTTAAAATGTTAATTGTCACCTAAAGTTGATTTGGATTTTGCTGAATTTTTAAAACTAGTGAGTTTTTCTTCAGAGATTTAGTTGGATATAAAAATCCCTAACTTTGCCATTTAAACTGTGTTAAAATACCAGCGAGTTGGCCAATAAACACCAGAAAAGCATAAGGAATGTGGCTCTGTACATCCTGGTGATGCATGCCGTATACAGCAGCACAAGTCTTCAACATGTATGGATACTAGGTGCGTTGGTCAAGTCAATATTGCATTGGCCAGCTCTGGAAAGTCAACTAGTTTTCTGTGTTACCCTTTTTGTGAATTAGAGGAGCAAATGCATCCCTGGAAGTTGTTGAAAGTAGTTGTGTGCGTACCCCAAGCCGTTACCCATTCACTTCTGTTTTGTGGGCTCAGCCCCAAGTCTTAAGACAGATGGGCACGGCCAGTAGCTCATCACCACGAAGATCAGCCCTCTTGTAACCAGGACTGCTTGCAATGATTTTGCCTTAGTGACTTGGTGGGGAAACGGGGGGGGGACTTTCCTTATTCCTTTAAAATTCATGTGTCCAAAATTAGTAGTTAGGTGTCTTAGAGTAACATGATAGAGTAGTAAGTTCAGTGAAAACCTCCTTATCTTTGCATTGCCTTCTACCTCTGCCATGAATCCCTCTAGACATATGTTGCTGTTCTTCCTTACTGAAGGAAGCTGAGGAGGGGTGTTTTGATAGGTCTCTCCTCTTTCTAGAATGGGAAGTTACATGTTTTACAACAACAACAAATCTGATCTTTATACTCTAGTGATTAAAGCAAACAAATAAACAAAAAAAAGTGCAGTGGTGGGGAGTGGAAATGGTAATTTGGTACTTGACTGCTCCTTATCTGAGTAGTTGGTGGCTTAAAAGAAGAGTTGCCTTTTACTATTAAACTTCTTTCATTTGCTTCTATGTTTCCACTGCTCAAATATGGAATTTGCTGATGAAAGACGAAAGAACAACTGAAGCTTGGAAACATCTCAGAATGGGAAAAGTAGTTGTCATCTTAACACTCCAGTGCAAAACATTTAGCAACTGTAGTGTGGACAATTATAAATTTAATGTCCTCTTCCCTGTAGCCACAGAAACTCAAGGTGCAGGACTGTTACAGGCTTTACATTAAAAATGCTCCTAGAGATTTTTTTTTTTCTTTCAAGAGAATAATGGTTGGGGTTTTTCTGAGTAAAATCGAGAGTTTTTTGCTCAGATGAGACACTTACAGAAATTATTTGGTGCCAGTTCCCCATTTATCTTGTTGGATAGTGCTTCCTGAGGGCAGCAGACAGCAGATGCGACTGAAATACAACTGGGAAAAAATATCTACTAATTCTCTCTAGATATATTTACAAATCTTTGAGGCTCGGCCTAGTCCTCCTACGCACAAGTGCGTTCCACTGCTTAGCTTGTTTAATGGACTCCTGCACATGAGCAGACTTGGAGACTGGATTTAAATCTTCTAGTGATGCCCAAGCCTCATGCTTGAGAGTATAGACTTAACCTTCTGTAATCTTTCACTAGGAATGCATTTAAACTATTTGGGGGGGAAAAAAATGGCGAAAGCTTTCATCAAGGTATCCAAATAGTTAGTTAGAACAGTTAACACCCCTGCCCCTCTCCTCACATTTCTTCTATAGAAATTGGGATTTGGGCTCATTTTGTTTGCTGTCACAACAATGCTAAAATAAGACAGAATTAAGCATCTGGCAGTTTGATGTCAGGCCCAAAGCACAGAAGCTTTGGTGTCTTAATGCCCAGGCACTTGAGTCAGTGTGACAGTCAGTGGAAGAGACCAGGAAGATGCACTAATTCTAAGTATATTAGCTAACCTATGTTGCAAGTTCCAGCTACATGTGTAAAGCTGAGATGTAACGTACATTAAAATCAAATTTGACTTAAAATTTTGTGTACTTCAGGTTTGCTTTGAATCTGGATAAAAGTGATGTTTTATGTTTTTCATCTAATGGCTGTAAACTGTAGTAATAGAATAAAAAAGAAAAATTGAAAATCGGAGCTTCTGCCTGGTTCACCTACATTTTACTTTTCTTTAAAATATTTTCCCCCTTCCCATTGTTTTTACCATCCCTTTTTTTGGCTTTACCTTTTCACTGGGTTTTTTTATTTGTTGGTTAAAGTCGGTCTTCCTCCCCACCATGGCTTTTGTTTTTTATCACAAGTTCATGTGGCTCAAATCCAGATTGCGGCAGGCGGAGAAAGACCGTCAGTTGGCACAGCAGGACAACCGTCTCTTCAAGCAGGAGTTTGGGGACAAAATCAACAGCCTCCAGCTAGAAGTGGAAGAGCTCTCCAGGCAGCGGTGAAAAGATCTTTTTCTCATTTATTTTCTGGGCTGTTCTTCCTGTGTCTAGAAGAAACCAGGCGGGTCGGTCCCAAAATGAGCAAGGGGCTGGAAGGAGATGAATGGCGTTTTATGCGCCAGATGGTGTTAAAGCTAGGGAGGTAGAATGCTTTGAGAGGTAGTAAGGCTTTTGAAATTGAAACTTGAAAAATCTGATGGGAAGGAAATGCAAAAGAACTGAGAGGTCAGCAGAAGCCACGAGCAAAGGTACAAATCTGTATAGGAGTGAGTTATCAGAAAGAGGCTGCAGAACATCTCTTGAATAGAAATGAAATGTCAAGATGTTCCCTTCAAACATGGAAATTTCCATGCATATTTGCTATGGTTTGGGCATCTGCCCATAACAGTTTCTTTGGGAATTGACAGTGCTAGAGATGCAGAAGGATGGAGATCACCACCATAAGTGATCCAAAACCTGTTTGGGAAGAAGCTTGGTTGGTTCTTCATTTGCCTGGAGGCACCTCCGCTTGCGAGTTAACTTACTCTGGGGATCTCAAGTTATCTTGGATATGTGCTTTGGAGTGCTGTAAGGCCTCTGCCATACAAACTTCTCCAAAATCTAGCATTATGCCAGACTTGTCATGTAATAACGTAACCTTGAACCTGAAGCAGATGATTTGTTGGCTGCTTGTCATCAGGGATGTAGCTCGAAGAAGTCTTTGCCTAGAGCCGATGTTTAAGAGTTAAGGAGCAAGGGAAGCAATCCTGGGTGCTGGTCTGACAAACTGCCAAGATTTTTCTAGTTGAATCCAATAGGAATTTTGCCAGTGACAACTAAAAAGGTGGAAGTGAAATGCAGGGATCTTAGCAAGAACTGTCCGTCTTTTCCTGCTTATCAATGCTGGGAAAACAGAGAAGTCTTCTTATCTTAAAGAGGCAGAGCGCTTCTCTGTCTGCAGACATAAGGTATCCTCTGTTCTGCAACAAGGTTGCTGAAGTGAACAGTGTGGATGTGTTACTGGATGCTTTTTTTTCTCTTTTTTTTTTCTTTTTTCATTCTAACATCCTGGCACATCTGCTTTTGTCTCCTGTTTCTCAAAGCTACAGAGGCCACCCACAAAGCCAGCAAATGGCTTTGATCAGAAATCTGTTCCACATCCCTGGTGTGTGTGGGTGAGCTTAGTGATAGCACTAGGTGTGGGTGGGGAATGCGTTTTATCTGTATGTGCATCTAGCACTATGTCTGCAGTTTTACTGAATTAGTGTAGCTGTTGAAGTGGTGGGGTTTTTTTGCATCAATTCAGTTTTTTCTGATAACTGTCTTCCTTATGCTAAATTGAAGTGGCAGCATGAAAATAACAGTGCCTACTTTATTGGGGGCTGTTACTGATGTAAGTAAGTGAGATTCTAATGCACTGAGTTGACGGATGGTGGTGAGTAGTGCTGCTTGAATTGTGTTCCTTTAAGAAGAAATGAGGCTTTGTGTGTTTTAGGTTGTTTTTAATCAAATTATAAGCAACTGATTTGTTTTTGAATGCCCACTTGGAGGAGGCCTCATTTCGAGATCTAAGTTTCCACCAGCTTTGCTCACTTCAGTTAGGCTATGTAGTTAATGAGACTGCAGTCAAATGAGTTATTTAATAATCTGTTGCAGCTGTATTGAGACTAATGAGGTTAATAATGGAGAGATACATTTGTACTTAATGGAAATGAGGATTCTGAATCTTTTATGGTGCGAGCCTTGCCAGTACATTTACCAGTTCCAAGCTTTTGATTTTAGAGCAAGTGTTGTTCCCTAAGTAGCTATGGCATTTCTGTTCACTTCACTGCTAAGGACTTCAGAAAACAGAGTTGTTTTGGCAGTGCAGCAGTGGAGCTTTCTGGTGCCTCAGAGTAAAGGGTCTGCTACCAATAGCTGGATTTTGTCATTCTTTTCTTCAGGTTGTGCAGGAGGCCTCAGATGTGCTCATAGCTTGGTATTTTGTAGGGATGCACAGACTTATTTGTCAGGTTTATTTTCCCCGAAGTGGTGCTAGAATTAGATTAAAACCATTCAGATCCTCCATCCTGGCATTTTGTAGCTTTAATGCACATTAAACAACTTTTTATTGAGAAGCATTTTTTAGCTCTAGAATTAGGCTTCAATTGCTTTTAGGTAAAGAGAATGTTAAATAGTTTTAATAATGTAGTGGCTCCTGATGTTGAGTGTTATTAACTTTATTCACAGTTCCACCTTGATATTACAGGAGCCACCTTGAAATCGAACTGAAGCGGGAAAGAGAGAGATGGTCGCACAGTCACCAAAGCAGCCAAGGAAGCAAAAAAGGCCCAAAGAATTGGTTAAAACCGGTAATATGTCTTTTTTCTCTTCTTGGTTTATATTTTGGTTATGGTTTCACTTTGTTCTCTCTTCCTGAGCTTTACTAGATATTAAATACGCATTGTTAATTTGTCAGAACAAGATGAGTTTTGGAACATTTTTTGCACATGCCAAATAGTCATTTGGTTGAGCTTTAAAAAAAAGAAAAAAGATTATAAGCATTACGCTGAACTGCAGAACAGATTTCCTCATTCAGGCTGGGTACCTGACCAAATCTTGCCTGTGGTGGTGAGTTCCTTCAATAGTTTAATAAAACCAAGCATAAGGCAACCTCATCTAATGAAAAGCAAGCTTGCTCACTTGTGATTTTTGTGTCATAAAAAGGGAGATTCTCCTGGAAAAGCAATGCAATTTGGAAAACAAAATTATCTTTTGAGGGCATCACAAGTCACTTGCAGTGCTTTTAATGCATTAGCACATTGATTGTGCTTTCTTTTTTAAAAAAAAAATAAAAAATAAAAAAAATAAAAAAGAAAGTGAAGTGGTAATGTCATGAGTAAGATTGATAGTCCCCAAGTGAAACTCCCTTTTTAGAAGTCATTTGCCTTTGAAAGCGAAAATCTGCCCTACAGCTTTTTCTGTAAACTGAAAGAGGCTCTCTTGCTGGGAACTGGCAGTTGTTTAGGAGAGCAATACTCATAAATTTGAGAATTGGGAAATAGCAGAGGTGGCTTCCAAAAGTCTGATGTACATTGCAGCACTTGAGACTTACCTTTACTGGACTCCCCTGGGCTGCTTTAACCATTCCCTTCTGTTTTTGTTTCTTTTTTCCCTTTTCCCTATCCAGTGTTCAGTGAAGTTACTTACACATCATGATAACTAGCTGCTTTTTTCTGCTGCTTGTTTGACGGTGTGTCACTGGGTGTGGAAGTGGCTGATGGCAAGGGGGGAACAGTGAGATCAGTATTCTCCAAATACAAAAGTAAAGTTTGCCTCCTTTACTCAGCAAGGGTGATCCTGCTGGGAGCAGATGGGGCAATGTGGAAAAAAAAAAAAAAAAAGGGGTTTCATAACAGATTTTTCTTTTGCCACAGAACTTGTAAATGGTTCTAGGTACAATGGAAGTTTGCATTTTCAAGAATGTAAGGGCTTCACTGAGATTATAGTTGCAACACCAGAACCGTGCATGCATTAGTAACTGCCAGCGCTTGACATGTAGGCTGCAGACTGTTTTTGACCTGGTTGTGTTTCCAAGTGTTCTTATGTACCTGCCTGGCTCAAGCTATGACCCAGTTCTTAGCTGGGGAGTGGAAGGGAGGATTTTTCTTTCCTTGCTGAGAGGATTTGTTGCCCTGATCAGTCTATACAAACTAATAACTTTAAAAAGTGACTGAAGTTTCCTGTCCTCTAGTAAAAGGAAACCATTGGACATGATTAAGAATCCAGCTTTGAAACTTGAAATCAACTTTTCTTCATAGCAGAAATAAAATACAGAGCTGCTCCTGGGGTGCATTTGTGTTTTTATGCTTTTGTATGCCCATGCCAAGGGGGGACAGTGTGATCAGTGTTCTCCAAGTACAAAACTAAAGTCTCCCTCTGCAGTGTCAGCAGTGTGGCAAAGGTGAACTCTTTGTTAGCATGCTAACATCGTTTGACTGACCAGTAAATCCTTTTTGGTAGGATGGGAAGCTCAAAATCCAAGAGGAAAACGCCAAACTGAAGCAGCCCCCGAGAGAGGAAAACAGTGTCCTGCCACATAAGTATGGAAGAAAGTGCATCTCATTTTTGTCTTCTCTCTTTCTGATTCTTGCTCCTCCTTCTCTGATTTCTTTGTTGCTGGATGGGAATTTTGGAATAGCATGATTTCCCTGGCTAAGAAAGCATTTCAGCCTCCTGCCCCATTGTTAAAATCTCTCCACATTTTCAGATTGTTGTGATAGGATTTGTTTGGCATTTGGAAGGTAAGATGAAGATTTGTTTTTGAATGTGAAGATACGTTTAAAGACAAATAGGGAAGAACTCTGTAATGAGGGTGTTGCTTAGAGACAGCTTTTTTGAACTACTCTCAATGCCAGTGACAATGTGCCCTGCTCTGACAGTGTGCTGAATGCTGATAAAATGGTGATTGGAAAAGTATTGTCTTAAAAATATCATAAGCTCTATTCAGGTCTTTTTATTTGGCCATTAAATACCTTCCAGTCTTGTGCTTTTTGCACCTGTCTCACAGTGTGTAAGCTATGAACATTGGTCTGCCCATTTGTCTGGAAGTCTTCATAACAACAGAACATAACCATTCCCAGATCTAGAGGATCAAACATTTTGCAGTCATAACTTCAAAGCTACTTCTAAACTGTGCGTGCTGTCTAAATTGCTTTTTCCACATTCACGCTCCCCTTTTTTCTTCTCTTCTGAAGTCATTTTACAAGCATTTCTATTTAGCCAAGAGCGTGCTGCCTCAGCTGGCAGTATTCATTCTAGAGCACCAGTCACTGCTGCCTCTTTGCTTTCCTGTTTGATGAAGCTTATATGTGCTTCAGCTCTCATGTGTGAGCAGGCTTGGCAGTGTGGTTTTGAGGAAATAAAACCAGAAATGAGCGCAGGTAGGATTTTAATAACAGGATGAAGGGTCCTTTGATACATAGTCCCTGTGTTTTTCTCATAAGTAGCAGCGTGATTGAGGCACTGGCTCAAACTAATGATGGTTTTCTCTTGTAGGTTACAGAGCAGCACTCAGGAGGAGCAGGTTGGTGATGCCTTTTCTTGCATTCAAATACTAGCGAGTGTGCTGGGGGAGCTCCTGGGTCACTACAGTGCTGCTTATCTCAGTAGAAAGGCTTTTAGTTGTCAGCGCTGCATTTATGTGAGTCTATTTCATTCCCTCAACAAAAGTGTGTTATTTTGGAACTAATATTAAATCCTTTTGTAATTCCTTTGCCCCATGCCTTTTCTGGGTTAGTGTCTTGAAAAAGAACAAGGAAGGCATAATTTTGTATTTTGTGAAAATGGCAGTGTGTAACAGCCTTGGTCTGGGTTAGGGTTTTGCAAGTTCCTTTGGAGGCTACAGGGGAAGAGTTATTTGTTTGTGTTTGGTTGGCTGCTTCTGTGTATGTCAAATTGACCCAAGCGTGCTCTTTCTCCCTTGGGTGCCTGGCAAAGCCTGGCTAGAGCCACCAACTCTCAAATGGATGCTACAATGCACATTTAGTCCCATCTACTAGGAATTTCTACCATCATCACCAATTATTCCTGGTGAAAAAAGAGATTTTGTTCCCCAAAGCTCCTGCCTTGCTCCTGGGCCCAGTAATCTCTGTGTAGGTCTGTAAACAAAGCTGCATAGTGCATGGCTTGTAGAGCTGTACTGTGCTTCTTGGTCCACCCTTGGAACTCAGGTTTGCCAGCTGGGCTGAGTGCTGAAGAGGAGAGGGTGACTTTTTAGGACTCAGCCTCTTAGTTGATTTTGGTTACTTCTAAGCTTTTTAGTGAGGGACAGCAAAAGGTAATATCACTATTACAGGTACCCTTCAGATTTTAGTGCAGCTGTCCTGCAAATAAATGTGTTAGTCCTGTGTGGCTTCCTGGTGCACTGTGTAAAAGGGAGGGCTTAAAAACACAACAGTGTGAAGTCTTCATCCCTGTTATAAAATAAGGATCATCCACAGAGCTTTGCTACCAAAGCCATGGAAAGCAGGCAAATAAAGCAGAATGTGTTGGCTTTTATTGTGGGTTCAGGAACAGCCATCAGGACCTGGAAATGCTCAGATCTGCCAGCTCTGCCAGGAAGAAAGCAGCCGAAGCAAGAAAAAGGTAACTCCAAGGATTTACACTGTCATCTCAGCTGTGTGGTGAATGTGCATTTCCTTTTATTTATATTCTTAATGAGATGGTCAAGGTGTTTTCCCGGGCAGTCTCTGAGATCAATTAGAAGCAAGGATTGTTAACACTTGCAGCTCCACTTTCCTTCATTGATGCTGAGGAGCAGTTTGTAAGGAAACAGTCAAGGCACTCTTAAAAACTGTTATCAGTGCAGTGAACATTCTGGTCTCACTGTTGTTGCATACTTAAGAGATGAGGAAGCAGGTGTCATTTGGTTGTATTTTCCCCTGGTTTACCTCACCTACCAAGATTTGAACCAGAGGGCTTTGCTGGGAAGCTGGGGACAAACTGCTCCTTCCAGGCAGTGTGAGTGAGCTTCTGGCATGCAGGGCTCTGACCTCCACTCTTGCATAGAGGTGGACCAGTACCACGTTTCCAAATAGCCCCTGGAAATATCTAGGAGGAAGTAAGGGAGCACAGCAAGGTCACCTGGCTAGGGAGCTTTCAGAGTGGTGACTAGTCTGTCCAGTATATTTATATGGCTATAAAATAAATGTGCATCACTTGTGACAAAATGCTCTAGCTGCAACTGGACTGAAGCAATTAAAACTTGAATGCTTCATTTTTGGTAACTCCTACCTACCTTTACTACAAGTCTTCACCTACTCTTTGACATAATGAGCTCCATGGTAGCCTGGTCCTGAGCACAAGGACAAGTTTCTGGTCTTCAGAGGGGGCATCTTTCTCTCGTCCAGTAGAGGATTTGAGTTAACTGAAGGTTATAGAGAGAAAACTCAAGTTTATTTTTTTGACCTGTGTCTTTAGTATCCTGTAATTTTTCTGTACTCTTCCTCCAGAATATCTGCAAGAACTGTGGTGGTATCTTCTGTGAAGCCTGTTCAGCAAACGAGCTGCCCCTCCCATCCAGTATTAACCCAGAGCGTGTCTGCAATCCCTGTCACAAGCAACTCATCCAGCAGTATTCCAACAGTCCCTTGTAGGAGGCAGGCTGCAGAGTGTGGTGAGACCATACAAATTGTTGTAGCAGGTGATTGTCTCTGGAGTTGTTCAAGGGGAATTTGAAGACGCTTACCTGTGTTGTTTGGAGGGGGAAAGCAGCTTTATGCTGTTTTACTCAAGAGACTGCAAACAGAACACCCTGAGCTTCCCCTCTACAAAAATCTGCCAGCTCTCTGACCTGGGCTTGTGCTGAGGAGAACTGCTTGAGGAATGTCACACCAAGTGGCCGTAAGGTGTGATCAGGCAGCCTTAGGATGCTGCAAGAACAGAGCCCCCACCCAAGAAAGAGCCATGTGTCTGTGTGTGCAAGGCAGGAGCGTGTCAAGTGAGGGCATGCTGCTGCTAAGCAATGGCTCACTAAAAGCAAAATGAGAGCATTTTCTAATCCTCATGTCTGGCTGCACTTGAAACACCATTTCCCCTTTTCCTGCTGTCTTTGACAATCTGGCTCAACTGTGCTCCTTCAGTGCCAGGAGTCCAGGTAACAATACCAACGACAACAAAAAAAAGCATTTTCTGACACTGTTCTTTGATCCAGTCCTCCAGCAGTAGGCTTGCTATGCAAATCATTATCAAACAAAGCTGTGAAATGATCCTTTATTTTTAGGGACTTCAGAGAGGGCTAAGATTTTCTTTTTTGGTGTGTGTGACATTGGAGAACTGATCCACACTGATCCAGCACACAAATGTTTAAAGGCATCTCTGACCTTCCTACTGGAGACCCTCACTGTGACTTCGTGACCACAAAATGGTGGCCAATCCAAAGAGCTACAGAACCTCTATCTTGATGTTCTGGGGGAATAGGAGTTCCAACGGTTTAGTTACAAATTACCATTGCACAAAGAGTTTAAGGCCACGTCTTCGCACCTCTCTCCTTTGTGTACATAAAAAAGTGATTTTAATACAGCTGGTATTTCACTGGTTTTGCATTAGATCAAAATGAAAGTGAGATGAACTCAACAGTGCTTTTCACCTTTAAGATATCCTGATGTAAAACAGTTTTAAAAGTTTTCATACTTTGTGCTCCATCAATCTTTGTTGCTGTGACTTCAAGGACACGTTACTCCAAAAAGTATTGGTGACTTCCTCATAAAGCACATATGCTTCACGTCAGTTTATTTGGTCTGATACTGGAAGCCTACATCAGTCTTCAGGGCCACAGGATGTTTTGTAAACTATAGAAAATTGATGTATTTATATGTGACAAAGGCATCTGGCTCTAAGCTACTATCCCCTAATAAAATTTGTGTAATTCCTCAGAGGAATTCATTAGACTGGCTGGAACTGCACTAAAAAGTATATCAGAGTTGGGGTTTTTCACATGGTTGGTGCTAGAGTTAGTTTGTCCCAGAAATTTTTCTTTCCTAGTTCCTTGCAGGTCTCAGTGTATTCAGCTGTCCAAGCGCTCCACCTCCCCTCATTGCCCTTCATAGACAGAGCACTAAACAAAGGGGAGCAAGCTTCAGAGTTTTCCTTTTTCTGCCCTTTGTGGTAGTTACCTTGCTGCTATCCTTTAAAGTAGGCAAGAAATTGTGAGTGGTGTTGAAATTTGAGAAGCCTAGAATTCAAGTGTGAGCAAACACTGCTTTCACAGGGTGAGATGCCATAGCTAAGGCACAAGATACCAAATTTGTAAGTTTTGTGTACACATTGGTACACGCTTAAGAGATTGCAAATTCCTGCATCCAAATCCAGAGAGACTCATTCTGCAGGAGAAAGTCTGACCCAGGCAATTTCAGTGCTGAAGGATTTAACTGGAAACCAGGCACTTACTGTGAAGTAACTTTAATGCTGGTACATCTGAGCAATTTCACAGCTCTGAAGTGACAGCTTATCTGCGACCTCTACATAACTTCCCACTGTTCAGCAGGAGTGGCTGCTGCAATTCTTGCTTGAAGTGAAGGCTAAAATGATCTTTATGTCTTTATTCTTTATTCTGCTTATCTTTAAAGCAGAACAGTTCTCGAGCAGGTCCTTTACAGTTACAGTATGCAAACAGCCCTTTACAGAGGCAGCTGAAAATCCTTCAAAATAGGGCTCTGGTTGCTGTAATTAAAACTGGCATTTGAAAAGGTGTGAGATGATGATGTCAGCTATCTGTGTTCACACACAACTCCTTCCTGATTTCTTTGACTCAGTGAAGGGCTCTGCTTTTAAGTACTGGTTGTTGTGCTTTATGATGCTGCAAATGTTCAAGGCACATTTGCTCACATACTGGTGGTAATGCTGAATTTTTGGGTTTATACCTGGACATTTGGAGTGGGGGGAGCAGATAGCAGTTTTTCTGATATTAATTTTGTTCCACATGTAGTAATAAAAACTTTCTCATCTGGCTCCTGTGTCCTGAGTGGTCTTTCCCTTCTGCTTTGGCCTTCTGCTTTGGCTATGGCTATGAAAGTATTTCAAAACCAGTAGCAGATGCCAACAAAGAAATTAAAGATACGTGGCCAGCAGGAACAAGGAATAAGCTATGTTTGCTGCCTTCTGTGTATTGGGATCTTAGACCACTTGATTGTTGTTAGTTGTCCACACTGGTGTTTTGTTAATACTTTGTTAGCACTGTGCAGCTTAAGACTAGAACTGCTTTGTCCCGCAGCATTTGCCATTCCTCCAGAACAGCTTTTTCTACCTCTGTGACAGACAGTCTTTCTATGATGTATCAACACGCTTTATTACATGCTGTTACATAAATCCAAATGGTATTTTATACAGCTTATCCTTGTAATTGAACAGCAACTCTCATACTCCATCTTTGCTTGTACCCTAGGAATGCGTTCACTTTGACCTATGAAGACAGTGGGGGGAAAAAAAGAGAGAAACCATCACTACTTCATTGCAGCTTATTATTCTCTTTTTCTGAAAATGCACCACTGCATTTTATTTCAAAGTATTGCTGCCAATACTGCAATTGTAGAATTTAGCATTTTTCAAAAAATGTCACCCAAAAGGATAAGATGCAAACAGCCTGTGAGAGAGAACTGCCACGTGCAGCTGAAGTAAGTCATACACAGAGGGGAGCCAGAAGCAGTTCTGGGTGCTACTCCTCTACTTCCATGCTAGAGACTGCAGCCACATCAGAAATTCTAACAGGTGAAAACTAGCACAGCTGCAAGGGGAAGAGGAAAATGCAAGTGGAAAAAGCATTCTGGCACATTCCAGCAGGCCTCAGCTGTGCCAGGGTGAGTCCCAGGGAGGTGGTGTGGTGACTGTAGTGCAGCAACCTCTGCCAGCTCTGGCTGTCACCTCAGACATGCACTGCTACCCCTCTGCCACAAAAAGTTGTTTTCGTGTAATCTGAATGCACAGGCCTGTGTGCCTAGGCTTGATGCCTCACCTCAGATTAGCTGTGATGATCAGCTTAAGCCACTTGCTCTAATTAACAGCCCAGATGCTATTTGAAATTCAAAGTATGAAGTATACTAACAGTGAAAAAGGAACAATTGAAAAGAAGGATGCACTCACCAAATCTGAGATCTCACCGCTGTCACTAGTGGTGTCCTGCAGCCTTTGGATGTTCCTTTGGGAATACTTCAACAGCACCAAACTCTAGGGAACAACATGGGAAAGGTATTTTGTAATCAGAGACTTGCAGATAGGATAATCTGGAAATCTGGTTTTCAAACAATCCTGTTGCATAGGGTACTACCAGTAGCTAGACAAGAACGGCCAAAGTACCTGAGGATCTACGTCTTGGAGTTGTGGAACTCCTTTCCTCTTTACTTACGCAGCTGTGCCCTCTCCTTAGCCATTGCAGCAACTGCGTCATCATAGCTCTCAAAATGCACGTCAGCTTCGCCTGTGGCAACTCCATCGGAGTTGTATTCTAATAGGATCCTTCTGGGCCTCAGAGGAGCAAAAAACTGAAAAGAAGGAAAAACAGGGATCCAAAAGGTGAATATAGTGAGAAAGAATCAAGAAGAATACACTCCATTACCAGAAAACCTCACGTTTTTGCTCATAACCCACATCCAGCCATGGGAACTGAGCACATGAGAAACACAAGACTCCCTCCCCTTCCAGGTGAAGTCGATGCACAGCCAACAACTAAATTTGATGCATACTTTTACTGCTACTTACATCTATTATGTCTTGGGCGCTAACTTGTGTAGGAAAGCCCCTCACGTGGACGGTGCGTAGTGATGATAAGATGCTCCCAGATTGCGAAGAAGGCCCTGAGCTTTCTGCTGCTTCGCTAGCCACTTCTGTGGAAAGGAGGAGAAACATCATTAACACCTACAATTATCGCTTTCCTTACATGAAGGTTGTGACAGCAGGGTCGTGCTCTCAGCAGCAGACAGTGACGGTGCCTCAAAGAACACACGCATGCTACAGGGCCAGGCTCACCCTTCTCTCTTTCGGCACTGGAGCCTCTGGTGGAATCCAACTCCCTTTCTTCCACAGTGGATCCAAGCTCTCTTCTCAGTCTTATCATCTCCTTGCGAAGAGACAAATGTCTCTGCATTTCACGCTTTGTACTTATATATACTTCTATATATCTAGGATTACAAGGAAACAATTACATGGCACTCCCTGTACTTCCACAAAGAACTCAGGCATTTGAAACAGTACAATTACTGTGCACAATGTTCTCCTGTCTCATCTCTGCTCACATATTTTCTGTGAGAGCCACAGATGGTGTGCAGTTACAATTTGGGGTTAACTGGCAAGCAGTACTTTTGAAGAACTTATTTAGATTGCACAGTAATGCCTATGACATCGCTTTTCAATGTGTAATGAGGCACTCAATCTCATGTATAAACCCACATGCTGTGAGCCAGTTTGTTCTGACAAGATCTTTAGTGATTGGTGTTACATGAAATTCTTTCAGGAGTAACATCAATGGCTTACATGCCAAAGCTATGTTTTGCTGCAGAAATGCAGCACTACTTAAAGACATTCTCTTTCCTGCAGTAGCATGCAGCCTTTTGAACAGCCTTATAAAGGAGTCTCTTTTCCCCCAATGTACTTCTGCAAACTGTTTATCCTGATCACTCCAACTTTCAGTTAAAATAAATAAATAAATAAATAAAAATCTATATATATCTATATGACTTAATCCCAAAGCAGACTAACTAAGCAAGCAGATACACAAGATGCATAGGACCATACTGAATACTTCAGGGGAGCCTAAGATTTTACTGCTATGAAATTGGTAGGATGAAATGTAATAAGGTGTGCATAAAAGTTGCAGGAGAAATACACCAAGATGTAATGCAATGTTATGGAAATCTAGCAAAATCCCACTTATGCTGCAGAAAGAAATAGTTGGAAAAAAACATCCTATTCCCCAATTTAAGTATAAAGTATTACATATATAAAGTATTAAAGTTGCACTTCCATCTCTAGCCATCTATGCCAGAGCCCCTTACTCAGACCCTCCAATGTTTCAGAGCTGGCAACAGTACCAGCTGGGCCTCACATAGGTTTAACTATTTGGTGTTTAGTCAGACATTTCCACAGAACAGAAGAAATAATGCCACGGAGAAGGGGGGAATGTGGCTATCCATATTTCCTCTCTTCTCAGCAAGAGCAGACACAATAAAGGAAATAATCTCATGTACAGCCTGACTGAGCTCACAGCTCAGCATCCTGCACCAGGGCTCAGCACAAATAACTTTTCTGGACAAATGACAAAAAATGTTGGCAGCAGTTTTGGAAACTTTGGAAATAGTTTCTTCAGTAGTTACTCAGGTATATGAAGCTGGGTAGGTGAGTCAATTAAAGCCTTGTTCCATGTTCCATCACAACAAAAAAGAAAATAATGGCAAAATGTGAATTAATTAATCCCTATTGGAGGGTAGGAAAATATGTCAGGTCACTGAATTATTGGGTACACCTGCAGAGCAGTGGCTTAACATGGGCAGGGGGACAAACACAAAGAAAAACTAAATCTGAGTATGAGATAACAGGCAAAGCAGCTGATATTACGCTGAGAGGCAAGCTATAAGTCACACCACATGCTTTATACCAAGTTCTTCTACCCTCTAAACCATAGCAAAGCACCTACCTATTCTCCATGTACTCCTTATGCCTTAGTAGGGCTTTAGCTACCATTTCCGGAGCTGCAAACTGCACATAAGCTTCTCCAGTTTTTCTTTCTCCCCGATAAACAAAAGTTATGTCAGTTATCCGCAAACCTATTAGCAGGATGGGGAGAAGAAGGCATTTACATTGTTAGGAACTTGTGCTATGGCTTAGAAAGACATCTATCTCTTCCCTAACTCCTTGTTTGGGCAAATGAACGTAGCAGCTCCTAATCCTGAAATAATTTCCCATCAGCCAAAATATATATGTATTTTTAACTTTTCAAAAAATTCCAAATTATTGGTTTTACGTTAGCTTTCGCAGAAGCCTTAATTGCCAGTGATAGCTCTGCAACAGATTGATTTAAACATTATGTGACCGTTGGTGATCAATTAAAAAACCTACAGCCAGTGACCTTCACATTTGGCATCATATTGGCTGTCATTGAACCTTAGTGCTGGAGAACTGTGGCCATGCCCACCGGCAGTAGGAGAAACGCCAGAAGGAAGAAGTGGTTTCAGTTTACTCTACAACCTGATCTCCTGAGAAATGCTGATTATTTCTGCAAACACCAGGAAAGCTTCTTTTCTATTAAATATATGCAGAAATCAGCTGGCTTGCTTCAGCCCTAAGGGCAGGGAACACACATTCTACTCAACAGCTGCTTGGCTGAACAGTTCTGCAACAACTAAGCTAGAAGTGGCACAGGCTGCCCAGAGAGATGGTGGTAGCCCCGTTCCTGGAAACACCCAAGGTCAGGCTGGACAAGGCTCTAAACATCATGATGTGGGTTAGGTATCTCTGTTCCTTGCCGAGGGTTGGACTTGATGGCCTTTAAAAGTCCCTTCCAACTCAAATGATCCTATGATTCTGACTGTTCACATGAACAAGACATTATTTAAAAAACCAAACTGTAAAAACCCACTAAACTTAGCTACTAGAGTTTTAACGTTACCATACATTATCTGTTATGATAATATTGCAAAGCCCTACGCTGCACTCTCTTGTCCTGAAGATACCTGGGGCTCTTCCATCTGAAGAGAAGATGGGGGGAATCTCATCACTGTTTACAAATATCTAAAGTGGAGTCAAACTGATGGCAGGTTCTTTTTGGCAGTGAGCAACAGAACAAGGGGCAATGGGCAGAAAATGGGCAATAGGGAGTTCCATATTAACACAACAAAGAACTTTACTATGAGAGTGATGGAATACTGGAACAGCTGCTCAGAGAGGTAGTAGAGTCTCCTCCGGAGATACTCAAGACCTGACTGGATGCCTTCCTGTGTGACTTGCTGTAGGGAACTGCTTT